TTTTTTTCTCTGTGAGTTATCATAACATTTTGTATATATTTCCCTGTGCTATACAGTGTAATCTTGTTTATCTATTCTACAATTTTGAAATCCCAGTCTATCCCTTCCCACCCTCCACCCCCCTGGTAACCACAAGTCTGTATTCTCTGTCTGTGAGTCTATTTCTGTCTTGTATTTACTCTTTGTTTTTGTTTGTTTGTTTGTTTTTGTTTTTAGCCATGGCAATTTTAGAACAGTCCTTTCCAAAATTGAAAATCAGCGGGGAGGGTATAGCTCAGTAGTAGAGTACCTGCTTAGCATGCAGGAGGATGCATGAGGTCCTGGGTTCAATCCCCAGTACCTCCATTAAAATAAATAACCTAATTATCTACCCCCCCCCCAAGAAAAAGCAAAAGAAAAAAGAAAAGTGATGCTGGGAAAACTGGAGAGCTAGATATAAAAGAATGAAATGAGAGCTTTTTTTTTAACCTGAAAACCTATCCCCAGCCTCCTCTGCTTCCCCTTCGTTTCCTTGGTGAATTGATGGTACAGCGGCCCATACATGGGCTTTGAAGTTCAACAGATCACACATTAGTTGTGTGACCTTGGGCAAGTCACTTGGCTTCCCTAGCCTCAATTTTTTTCATAAGATAAGTGAAATCAATAATGCTCACCTCACAAGGGAGAGAACTAAATAAGATAATAAATGCAGAACACCAAGCATTTTATTGGTTTATCGTTTGCGTGCTCAATCACTGTTCCTCTTCCCCTGTGGCTGCACATACCACCCCTTTGCAGTCAGCAGACAGCAGCAGCAGACTGTTCCCATGCCCACCTGCTCCCTTGCCCACCCCTCCTCCAGGACTTCCTTTTGTAGCAGCCCATCCTATTAAGGCGGGGCTTGTGGTTCACCAAGGAGGGAGGCTTGAAGAGGGGATGAGGAGCCTGTGGATCTTCGCCTACCTATAGGGAGGGAGACTGTGTGTGTGAGCACCTGTGGGTGTATGCAACCATGGCCAGAGGCCACTGTATCCCATCTGTTCCCTCCTTCTCCAGCTATGACCGCCACACCTTGGCGGCTATCGTGGTGGGCGTGGGGCGCCTCATCACTGGCATGGACCGAGGCCTCATGGGCATGTGTGTCAACGAGCGGCGACGCCTTGTTGTGCCTCCGCACCTGGGCTATGGCAGCATCGGCGTGGGTGAGAAGGGCTGGGGCCCGGGCAGGGGGATGCAGGAGGCCAGGGGGCAGGAGCAAGGACCCTAGGGCTGGAAAATGAAGCTCAGAGAGGGAGAGTGACTTTCCAAGTATGAATAGCGGCAGGTCTGGGACCTGAGTTTTGGTCTCTCAGCCCCTGGGGCGGGAGCAAGGGAAATAACAGGACCCTAGGTGGGATCCTAGCTTGACTCCTGTAGGAGAAGGGGAGCTAGAGGTGGGGGAGCGGATGGCCTAGCGGGATGCTCAGACCAACTCTGGGGGCTGCACAGCGGGGCTCATTCCCCCGGACGCCACCCTCTACTTTGACGTGGTCCTGCTGGATGTGTGGAACAAGGCGGACACTGTGCAGGTGAGCACCTTGCTGCGCCCACCTCACTGCCCCCGCATGGTCCAGGACAGTGACTTTGTCCGCTACCACTACAACGGCACGCTGCTGGATGGCACCGCCTTTGACAACAGGTAAGGAGGGACCTGGAGGGAGCCCTGGGGAGCTGGGGACTGTGGCATGCAGGGGGCAGTCCAGGGGCCATCCTGTCTCCCACCAACAGCAGCCTCACCTCTACCTCATTCTTTGCAGCTACAGTAAGGGCGGCACTTATGACACCTACGTGGGCTCTGGATGGCTGATTAAGGGCATGGACCAGGGGCTGCTGGGCATGTGTCCAGGAGAGAGAAGGAAGATCACCATCCCTCCATTCCTGGCCTATGGCGAGAAAGGCTATGGTGAGGGCAGCCAGGAGTTTAGGGATTCTCTAGAAGCAGGCTGCCATATACAGTTGCTCAGGCTGTGTACTGTACAAGGACATCTAGCCCAGGAGGCAAATAGGCATGGAACCTAGTATTTGGTGATCATCTCATTAAGCAGTGGTGCTTCATTCTGATTCACACAAAGCCCAGTATGGGCAAGTGGTGGTCCTGGGGAAGCCTTAGCTCCAGCCTCACAGGGGAAGAACAAGGGCTGCTGATGGGTGGGAAAGGACTCAGGAAAGCAGGGTTAGCACCTTTTTGCATGGTGCTCACATAGACCTTCCTGAGTTGGGAAGAAGCCCGGTTTTGCTCTACACTTGGATGGTTCAAGCCTATCCCTTCCCCAGGGACTGTGATCCCCTCGCAGGCCTCCCTGGTCTTCCATGTCCTGCTGATTGACGTCCACAACCCAAAGGACACCATCCAGCTGGAGACGCTGGAGCTGCCGCCTGGCTGCGTCCGGAGAGCCGTAGCCGGGGACTTCATGCGTTACCACTACAACGGCTCCCTGATGGATGGCACCCTCTTTGATTCCAGGTCAGGGGGATTCTGAGGAGGACGGTGGGGGTTGGGAGGACAGGAGAGAAGCTGAGGCAAGAGGAAAGAACCAGGTGTGAGGTTGCCCCAGGCAGCAGCTGGGGATGGCTCTGAACTGCTGGGAAGGGCGGGGCCCCTGTGACTCCCTTGCTGGCCCCCCCACCTTGTATTGCAGCTACTCCCGCAACCACACCTACAATACCTATGTGGGGCAGGGTTACATCATCCCCGGCATGGACCAGGGGCTACAGGGCTCGTGCATGGGGGAGCGCCGGAGGATCACCATCCCCCCCCACCTCGCCTACGGGGAGAACGGGACTGGTAGGCTTGTTCCCCAATCCCAAAGCCAGCACCTCAGCTCCTCCTGACGGGGAGGATTCCAGCCACTGCTCTGCCCCTCTCATCACAAAAACTGGCCCCCAACCCAGCTTCTGCCACAAGCACTCCAACCTTTTCTCCAGGGCAGTCTCCCACTTCCCCCTTCCACACTGGAGAAGGGCAGTTGACCCCTGAGTTTGGGGAGGGAGGGCAGTTACGGGAGACCAGAAACAGCGTAGCCCTAGAGGCAAAGACACCTGGACTTGAGACCTAGCTTTGCTGGAGGCCTCAGTGTGCTCACATAGCTCAACAGGGTAAATTATTGGGATGTTCCAAGGTGTATGTAAATGGCTTTCTAACTGGCATGCCGTCCCTCCCCTCCACTGCCTCCCCACCACCCAGAGTATATTAGAAGAGGGGACTAGGTAGACAAACATCCCATCCCATCCTCATTTAAACCCCCTGGCAGGGAAGGTCAGGAGCCTCCACGGAGGCCTGAGCAGCTCCTCCTAGCGCCGAGCTGATCCACGCCCCCACTCTGGCCCCAGGAGACAAGATCCCTGGCTCCGCTGTGCTGATCTTTGATGTCCACGTCATCGACTTCCACAACCCTGCGGATCCAGTGGAAATCAAGACACTGTCCCGGCCCGCCGAGACTTGCAACGAGACGGCCAAGCCTGGGGACTTTGTCCGCTACCACTATAACTGCTCTCTGCTGGATGGCACCAGGCTCTTCTCCTCGTGGGTCCAGGGCAGGGCCAGGGCTGGGCAGGTGGGTGGGCCCGGGCGTGAGGAGTCCTAACAGACCCCCAACTCTTACTTCCTCCATAAGTTCCCATCTAAGCGAGTCGGGGGAGCATAAGGAGCTAAAATTCCCAACTCTGTGAGCAGAGGGAGGGTGAAGTAAGCAGTAGGGGGAGCTGCTAGTTGCACTCTCTGGACAGAACTGGAGCAGGGAGAGATGTGAGCCCCCAGGCCACACGTCAGGGCAGTGGCAAGAGAAGGAGACCCTACCTCTGAGCCGCTGGGTCCCTGCACCCTGCCCTGGGGCAGCACCAGGAGAGACTCGGGAACGGGGCATGCCCAGGACGGTGGGAGGTGAACAGGCAGGGGATGAGGCTGGGCACTGACCTGGGGATCTGCTCTTCCCCCAGCCATGACTATGGGGCCCCTCAGGAGGCGACTCTGGGGGCCAACAAGGTGATCCAAGGCCTGGACATCGGCCTGCAGGACATGTGTGTTGGGGAGAGGCGGCAAATCGTGGTCCCCCCACACCTGGCACACGGAGAGAGCGGAGGTAAGGGGCAGAGACTGATCTGATGGCTTTGTCCCTGCCCACTTGGGGCCTGCCTGGATGGCTGGTGGGAAGAGTGAGGCAGGCCTTCCATATGGTTTTGTAAATATCCCATGCCCCACTCTCTAGTGCCCAAGGTGGGGAAATTGAAGCCTATGGGTGGGGGAGCACCCTGGGCAGACTGCAGAGCCAGACCCAAACCCTTCCCTTCTCTCCTCCTCATCCTCCCTCCAGCCCGGGGGGTCCCTGGCAGTGCGGTGCTGCTGTTTGAGGTGGAGCTGGTGTCCCGAGAGGATGGGCTGCCCACAGGCTACCTGTTTGTGTGGCACGAGGACCCTCCTGCCAACTTGTTTGAAGACTTGGACCTCAACAAGGATGGCGAGGTCCCCCTGGAGGAGGTGAGTGAGGAGTTCAGTCCTTCTAATAACCCTTCCCACACTGTCACACAATGGGAGCCACCTTGCACGGTGGCATCTAGCAAGAATGCAGTGCATGTCCACCATCCTGCCTGCACCCACGTTCCTGCCCTCTGCAGGTCACTGCGCCTTAAGTCCCTCGTCCTCTGGTACATGCAGCCTGTTCCCCCTACGTCTGCCTGACCCCCATGCACGCCTTCTGCCCTGGCCCCACTCAGGACTCAGTGCCAGCTCTTCTCCTTAGTCCTTGCTGGCTGGCCTCCGCCCGGGAGCCCCTGCCAAGGCCACCTGCAGCCGCTCAGCCCAGGTGCTTGCTCATTCTCCCCTTCCTTGGTTCTCTGGCAGTTCTCAGGTGCTTGCTCATTCTCCCCTTCCTTGGTTCTCTGGCAGTTCTCCACCTTCATCAAGGCTCAAGTCAGTGAAGGCAAAGGACGTCTCCTGCCTGGCCAGGACCCTGAGAAAACCATAGGAGACATGTTCCAGAATCAGGACCGCAACCAGGACGGCAAGATCACGGGGGAGGAGCTCAAGCTGAAGTCGGATGAAGATGGGGAGCGGGTCCATGAGGAGCTCTGAAAGGCCAGAGGCCTGGGCCCCAAGGCAAAGGCGCATGTCTGTGGGGACAGTCACCCTCTCCCCTGCTGGGATGAGGTCTGGAAGCCTCTAAAAAGTGGCCAGAGGGTACAGCTCTGGTCTTCCCACTGCCTGAGAGTAAAATCACAGCACAGACCTCTATTTGATTTTTCTCTTTCAACCCCAAACCCCTTCCTTAAAAGTTTTGCAATTACAAGGTCAATCTGGGGATGGCTGGCGTCTGCGGGTTGGCTGGGATCATCACCGACCCCTCACCCAGACCTTCACTCCATGGCAGCAGACACTGAGCAGGGCCGAGCTCATCATTTCTTAATTTCCCCAAACTCCCCCTTTGTCTGTACTTTCCCCCACCATCTCCACCCACCCCCTGCCTCCAGCCCCCAGTACTCTGTCAGCTCCCCAGGAGCACGCTCTCCTCCCTTGGCTCTGGCTGGTTCCTAGGGAAGGGGGTGGTTTCAGGATGGCAGCCCTACCTCACCTGTCCTGGTCCCTTCCCCTGTCACATTCCTCCTCCACCTGTTCCTTCCCCCCAAGGGACAAAGAGAAGAGGGGCTTATTGGGGGCTGAGGGTGAGAGGGGGTGGGCAGAGCTCTGCACACCCAAAGATTAAACTGGCATGAGACCCCTTTCTCTTTTGTGCCAAATAAAAGACAAAACTAAAGCCTTCGGGACATGGTCTTTCTGTGTGGGTGGCCCTTAGACCCAAACATCAGGGAGACGGGGAACCAAGCAGGCTGTCTCCATGGCTGGTCAGCTCCAGACCCTGTGTCCCTGGGTCTTGGCTTCCTGCCTCCCTGAGGCCCCACTGGGGCATCACCATGGAGGGAGGGTGGGGAGTGGGTGTCCACAGAGGACAGGGCCTGTGGGGGAGGTGCAGAGACATGGCCCTGACCTCCTCCTAACTGACCCAGTCAGTTGGATGAAGGTGGTGAAAAGGTACAAACTTCCAATTACAAAACAAGTAAGTACTAAAGATGTAATGTACAGCATGACAAATACAATGAACATTTCTATATGTTTTATATGAAAGTCACTGTGCCAAGAAAATGATCATTTCAGATGAGAAGGTTTAAGTTTCAGGGAGACTTAACTACATAACTACAGCGCTGCTTATAGCACACTGGCTAAATTTGGCCACCATCTGTTTTTGTAAGTAAAATTTTATTGGAAAACAGCCGTGCTCATTCATGTATGTACTGGCTATGATTGCTTTTGTGCTACAATGGCAGGGTTAGAGACCTTATAGTCCATAAAGGCTAAAACAAACATAATTTGGCCCTTTACAGAAAAAAAATTGCTAACTCCTGATTTATAATGGTGAAAATTGGAACCAAACTGAGTGTCCAAGAATAGGGGATTGGTCAAATTACAGTGTATCCCTTCAGCAAAGAGAATGCAAGGCCACTATGGGAAAACGATGCTGTGGTACAGGGGCTGTCCAGCTTGGCTACACATTGGAACCACCTGGGGAGTCTTAAAAGTCCCATAGACTGACCCCATCCCAAGCCAATTAAGCCTGCCTGGGAGTGAAACTCAGACACAAATATTTGTTAAGCTTTCCTGGAGAGTTCTAACTCAGAGCCACTGCTGTAGAAGATTTCTCAATGACATAGAAATACAGCCACTATATACAGTCATCCCTTGGTAGCCACAGAGAATTGGTTCCAGGTCCCGCCGCAGATACCAAAAATCCCCAGATGCTTAAGTCCCAATAGTCACCCTCCATATCTGTGAATGTGGAACCTGCCTTATACTGAAAAAAAAAATCGTCTATATATGGACTTGCACAGTTCAAACCTGTTTTGTTCAAGGGTCAACTATTGTTAAGTGAAGAAAAGCAGATTATCTACCTCTGACCCAGGGCCACGGTGCCCTGTCCTGTCGCTGAGCCCTGAGTAGCACCTTGGGGACTGACCTTAACCAGCAGCGAGGGACTGCTGTTTAGTGCCTGCTGTTTGAGACTTTAAATCAAAAGAAAAATACTGACAAAAAAGCATTAAAAACAAAACCAAAATAAGACTGTATTGGTAACCATCCAAATTTTTGTAAGAAAAGTTAGAAATTTAAAAAAGCAACAAACAGTCAGAAAAGAAAAAGAAAAACAGATTATCTAACAGAGTGTCCTATATGAGTCCTTTTTGGTAAACGTCTTACCCCCACACACACGTGCACACACACTCACATACACAAACAACAGGTGCCAAAACACCGAGGTGCTCCTCTCTGCAGGATGGGGCTAGGAGAGATACTGATACTTTTCTTTTGATTGTCTGCATTTTATGTGTGTTCTAAAGTGAACAGTCTATCTTGTAACAATTGTACCAGAAAAGAAAGTCATCAGCTTAAGAAGTCACACACTTTTCATTTCGGGAAAACATACAGGAATGAGCATCTAATCGAATAAGGAGTCTGCAGGTCACTTGTGTACACAGCACACCTGGAGGGGTGCTGGCACTGCAGACCAGTGGGGAGGCAGGCCCCAGCCTCTTGGTGACACCAGGGCTCTATGAGTCAGGCATATGCTGCTGCCTCTAAGCCTCAGGCTCCTCAAGGGTTAGATGGGATGGGTTGGCCCACCTTACGGGATTAAAGGCATGAATGTGCAGCCTCTGGCACAAAGTAGGCACTTGTTCCCTATAAGCAGCTCTCAGAGTCAGAGTCTGTAGCCAGCATCTTGCTCTTCTGGCTGCAGGAGAGGGATTGGCTTTGCCAAAACTGGGCTTGCCCAAGTTCATCCCCAGTTGCTGGTCCCCGGTGCTGCTGAAGCTGTGCCAGCCGGCAGCCACCTCTCACTGGCCTTGGCTTGGAATCTCTGCTGCCGTGGAATGTTCCTGTGCTCCCTAGAAAGGCCCTGGCTTCTCATCAGCACAGTCTGTTGACCCTCTATCAGCATAGCCTGTGCTCACCATCCTCAGGTTGGGGCCCGTCTGCATGATGAAAGAAGGGCTTTCCAGTCTTCCTGGGGCTGCTCCCCTTTAATAAAAGTGACAATTGTAGCTGCCATTTATCGACCCTTCATATGCCAGGGCTTACACCCTCTATCGCTCTGCCTTAACTCTGCCAGGCATGTGATGATATTCCCAGTTCACAGGTGAGGCTCAGAAAGGTGAAGGGACTCAGTCAAGGTCACACAGCCGATGACTGGCAGGCTTGTCTGGCCCCTAATTTTCTCCACTGTACCACACTGCCTTCTAGGTGTCTCTCCTGTTCCCTCTTCTATCACGGTGGATCCGTGCAGCAAAGTTAGATAACCGTTGTTATAAAAGCAATGATTCTCAACATTAACTGTGGGATCACCTAGGAAGATTTTTTAAATGCTGGGAGTGGGCATGGACATTGGAGGGTGTAGGGTGGAAAGGGTGGAGTTGGGAGGAGGGCCAGTGGGTAGCAGCTGGAAGGGGACACATGGGGCCTTTTGCGGTTGTGATGATGTCCTCCTTCCCGGCCTGGGTGCTGGGGACTTGGGTGTGTTCTTTTTGTGTTTGAAAATCATCGAGCTATACATTTATGATTTGTGTACTTTTCTACGTGCACGTTACTTTACAGTAAATTTTTTAAATTTTAAGAAAAAAAAGGCAGCTGTCCTCAGCCACATCACTGTCTTCTGGGAAAAGGCAGTCGTGGCCCCCGACTCATAATCCTGAAGACAATTTTTACAGTACTGAGCAATTGTTGGCCTTTGAGTCTGTGCCTGTCCTCAACAACAGGCCAACACCTCGTCCAGGGCTGATGCTATGCTGAGCTAGGAAGGGCCCACTGTTGCCGCAGCAGCAGGTATTCACAGACAGCCAGGCCCTATTGGCTCTACACCTCCTCCCTCCCCACAACGGGACTCACATAACGCCATCCTGCCCACACCCTGGGACCTAGGGCAGCAGGGACGGAAACAGCTACAGCCCAGCACCTGGGCCTAAGCTGTGAGTCCCCTGCTGACTTCTGTCTTGTATCATAATTTGAGTCACTGGACACATGTCTTCTGATCTTCACTGACAGACTTTGATTTTTAGCTGGACCCATGGATGTATGAAACGAAGATTGTATTTCCCATTGTCATTTGCAGCTTGGTCTAATTATGTGACTCAGTTCTGGCCAATTGAATGTAAGTGATGTATTCTGCACAATTCTGGGAATTGCCCTGAAAAAGGAGCATGCTCTTCTTCTTCCCCTACTTGTTCTTGCTACCTGGAATATGGCATGGAAAGGCTGAGTTCCAGCAGCCATTTTGTGCCAGGGATCAAAGTCATGACTGAAAATAGAAGAGCAATAAGACAGGGGCGCCTGAGTCATCTGTTATTTCCTTTACACTGTGGAGCATGCTGCTGGTGGTGGACTGACTCCTTTCTTCGGGGTTTCTTAACATGAGCTTCTACCCTGTCTGAGACAATGATATTTAAGGTCTTCCATTCTTCTCAACCGAACTTAACCCTAACTAACACTAACAGGGCTTCTGACTTGATCCTTGGCCTGAGTTCCTGCATTGGTCACCTGTCCAGTATAAAGATGAGGGTCCCACCCTGCTCCTCCTGCAGACTGGAGTTCTGCCTCCACCCCATCTCTGTGGCTGGACCCTGATGCGTGCTGGTGTGCTCCATCCCAGCTGCTTGCAGGATCATGTGTGGCAGGGCTTGCCTCTTGCCAAAGTGGAGAACAGCCCACTGCTCCCATCCATTTCTGAGAGTGAGCCCTAATACTTCTCTCTTCCCACTCATCCTCTTACCCTTGGCACCTGCCCTGTGCCTGAAGGGCTGGCCACTCTCTGGACATCTGCAACAGGACCGATGCCTACAGTACGTTCTCCAGGGGACAGGTCCATGAGGAGTTCCTGAGACATAAAAACCATGGTACCTTCATGCATACATTCATCAGCTGACATTCGTCAAGCATCTATCTTGGGCACTGAGGACACAACAGTTAGACATGGTGGGGGGACGGAGCTAGTACAGCAGGTACAAGCACGGCTGTACAGTGAGAACGGCAGACACAGCTGCCTGAGGCTCTGGAACTGGTCCCAGGGAATTTCAGGGGTTTCCTTTAAGCATATGCCCATGACCTTGCTCACGTGTGCAAGTCTGTATGAATCACTACTCCTCTCTGGCCCTCAGCTTCCCCGTCGGAACAGGACGAGGCTAAGCTGGATGATGTTTAAGATTCTGGGTGGGTCTTTCCACCTACAGAGGGAGATAAGGGCCAAGGAGCCCTTAGGTCTGGGTTTGCCACCCATGGGCCTGATTTAGGGCCTTAAAACAACCCATCTAATTATTTATTATGATTCTGTGGGTTGACTGGGGCTCAGCTGGACAGTTCTCCAGTGCAGTGTGCTCATACAGAGATGGAGATAATCACATGTCCCTACCCCGAATCCTCACAGAATCATGAGATAATACCACGGGTAACCGACAGTAGATGAGGAGAAGTTTCTCTTTACAGGAAAAAATCCAGCTAATAAATGAAGAAGGAAAGATAGAATTATCACC